GCCGCCACGTATGTTTTGCCTCCACCCGCTTCCACAACAAATGATCCGTACCGCACAGTGACGGCATTGATTGAGGCTTTGCACAGATGTGTTGGCCTCGGGGTTAATGGCATGAGCAGCCATTTGACCTCCCCCTTATCCAAAGAATCGAGATCTCGTAACCTTTCCTGTTCTCATAGATTCTCAATCCATCCACCCTCCTACCTTCGCAGATTAGGTCAAAAGTCTTGCTTTCAATCGCTAGAAACTTCCTTCTATTTAGAAGTAACATAAGATTCCAAGCTACCTAGCTACCAAATACCACCCATATACAAAAAATTCATAAGACAAAATATATCTATAAGGTTCCTTAAATCTTATCTATTAATTGGTGGATGAACTTCACAAAATATTCAAAGGTCCATCTCCAATTATCTCTAATTCTATCAAAAAGAGTCTAAATATTCTCAACACCGAACTTGAAAGGTCATGAAATGCACAATATCAAATTTTCTCTTCAAATCAAATTATTTTTTATTTCAAAAGAGATAACAAACTACTGTTCTAGTCCCTACTTTATGGGCAATGTTAGAATTAGCTCTTATTATTTTCATTATTTGGTCCAAACTTATAAAATTATTTCAAAACTAAATTTTTTGTAAAATTGTGAAATTTTTTATAAAAATAACATAAATTCTTTCTATCTTGCCCATAGTTTATTTCATATAAACTTTCAAAGTTATAATAGTTTACTTTGTTTAAACAATGAAAATTATAATAACAAAACTTATGGAACAAGACAAAAATGTCTACACAAACCATTTGTTCAAATTTTTTTTAATGAAATTTCATGCTTTGAAGAAGTTTTATATTTTTCATTGGCTTACCATGTCACCTAAAGAAGACAATCAGAAAAAGTTTCTGTTATTCCTCTCAAAATGTTCATGAAAAGTTCATGTTTAGAAATAATTTTATAAGTTGAGGAACCAAATAGTAACGAGAAAAAAAAGTTCCAGAGTTCAATTTTAATATAGTCTATAGTTCAAAGACTAAATTAGTAATTTTTCTTAAAATATAAGTATTAATAGAAGAGGAAGCTAGAGTAAATTAAGAATAAGAGATCTTCCGACAAACATTCAAAAAAAAAAAAAAAAGAAACAAGATTCACTAAAAGGCAATAGTCAATCCCTTTGTGAAATGTTAAAGAAACAATCTGGAAGAGACCTTGCGGTTTAACCCAAAAAATACTGGGAAAACCAAAATACAAATAAATAATGGGGATTGGAGACAACCTTTAGAAATCTAGCATTCCTGTCCAACAACGTTTCAATAAATATCACCTCTCAATGTTTTGTTTTCCAATACGCACTCCGAAGTGCTTGCTTACCAAGCTTCTGATCAATCAACTTTTTATTCTCTATTATGTCCTATATCTCACAGTTTATGCAACAATCTCAACATATGTTAAAAAGAAAGCATTAAAAAACAATCATATTCTCACCACAGGGTTACTTGCACCATGATCTTTTATGATGTTCTCATCATCAAAAATTTCAAAAAAGATATCTATAAGAAAAAACGAAATAAAAATCAGTTTGAATCAACAACCAATAGTGTTATTATATCATGTTATTTATGAAAATAGTTGTAGAAGATGAGTAACTGCCATAATCATCAATAAATCAATCAATAGTGTTATTATATCATGCTGTTTCTGAAAATAGTTGTAGAAGAGGATTAACTGTCATAATCATCAATAAATAAATCAATAGTGTTATTATATCATGATGTTTCTGAAAATAGTTGTAGAAGAGGAGTAACTACCATAATCATCAATAAATCAATCAATAGTGTTATTATATCATGCTATTTCTGAAAATAGTTGTAGAAGAGGAGTAACTGTCATAATCATCAATAAATCAATCAATAGTGTGATTATATCATGCTATTTCTGAAAATAGTTGTAAAAGAGGAGTAACTGCCATAATCATCAATAAATCAATCAATAGTGTTATTATCTCATGATATTTCCGAAAATAGTTGTAGAAGAGGAATAGCTGCCATAATCATCAATAAATCAATCAATAGTGTTATTATGTCATGCTATTTCTGAAAATAGTTGTAGAAGAGGAGTAGCTGCCATAATCATCAATAAATCAATCAATAGTGTTATTATGTCATGCTATTTCTGAAAATAGTTGTAGAAGATGAGTAACTGCCATAATCATCAATAATCAATCAGTAGTGTTATTATATCATGTTATTTCTGAAAATAGTTGTAGAAGAGGAGTAACTGCCATAATCATCAATAAATCAATCAATAGTGTTATCATATTATGCTATTTGTGAAAATAGTTGTAGAAGAGGAGTAAATGCCATAATCATCAATAAATCAATCATATCATGCTATTTTCGCAAATAGTTATAGGAGAAGACTAACCACCATAATCATCAATAACATATCGAAATTCAGCCCATGAAATTTGTTCATGTGGTTCACTGTGTACTGATTCAGGGAATACTAGCAAAGCATTGCTGTATGCCTGTAACGAGAAAAGTAATCATGAAGTACTTCTAAGAAAGAACTAGATTTTGCCAATGGCAATTATAAAGACCCGGTGCAATAACAAAAAAATTTATATCATTGACATATTGAATCCCATCTATTTTCATAGAATTAATATTAGAAAGAGAGAAAACAGGTACTATTGGATCTTCCATTCTTATCTCCTAACTACTGATTCTTCTTTCTTTTTTCTACAAAGTTTTGAAAACACACACCTCCACTGTTGTCCTTGCCATTTCAGCTTCAGAAAGTTTGGCATCTTGGCGCCTCCTGCAAGGTTTCAGTTCTTCAAGAGGATGGTAACCTCCTTTAGTAACATAATCAGATGAATCAGGAACTGAGTCCGAGTAATCTGCAGCAACTGAAACTTTTGGAAAGCAAAGGTCATGGGCTAAAGATGACCCATGAAATGATGATCCAAAAAGTGGATTCTTGCATCTGAAACAGAATATGCAAAAAGTCTTTTAATTAACATCCAAAGAGAAAGAAGGATAAAATCCGCATAAAAATGAGATAGATTTGATCAGTCCCACAACAGAGAGAAATCCTTCATCATTCGGGATTTGTAAGAAGCTCATCCTCCATCCAATTTTTCATTGAAAATTAAAGTGCTATACTTTCATCAAATGATTGATCAATTACTCACCAATTCCAATATACTTAATTACTAGAGCTGCATTGGAACATAGAACTAGAGCACCAGACATGCAAATATTGAGATAAATCACCTAAAAAAATCAGTGAAACCTCAATGACATGCTAAATCAAACTAACAAATATATCTCCCAGTATATTAACATTTCACTATGTAAGTTTTTAATTTTAAATCAAGTTATATCTCCTAGTATATTAATATTTCACAATGTAAGTTTTTAATTCTAGATTTCCCACAAACGGAAAGTCAACAACACCAGATTGTTTTCATGCAAGTTGAGCATCATTTCAATGATGTTTAATCTTAAAACTACCACAGACCTTCTGCCAGAAGAGCAAGGAGTCCACAACCATCAAGTGCATGTTTGACCCAACTGCTGGAAACCGTACATGAAATTGGGCAACAAACACCCTCCATATGACACGGATGACAATATGAAGGACCTGATGCCACTTCAATAAGAAAAAGGTCAGTAACAAAATTATACATGAATAAAGAAAATGCAAAGTTAGCAGCACTATCTACATTAAATCATCTAACCCATAACCCAAAAAAGAAAATGCAAAGTAAACATTGATCCATTTTCCTGCAAACTCCAAGAAACCAAAAAATGGAAGACAAATCCAGTATTTGAAAGCAAAGCAATGAATGTTTCTAGCAATGACACTTTATTTCATTGAAACATATTACCATGTTTAACTGATGTAAAATGAAGAAGAAGAAGAAGAAGAAGAAGAAGAAGAGAGACAGAAGTTTCCTTTTCAGATATGCAACATAAGATGGGCATTTGGCAGATTTTCCGGCAAAATTTTCATGCTTCATGACGAACAAAAGTGAGATGCAAAGGCAATCGAAGAAATAAAGCCGAAAACTAGAGTCAGACACAAAAACTATTCTTGTATCTTCTCCACAACCAGGAGAGGGAAACAACATGTCAACACAAGTAATCTGCATGAGGATTTTTCCCTCAATAACCCACGCCTATCAACAATAAGCCAATAAATGTCCAAATTAAGGCCTCGGTGTCAATCAGTACAGGAATATTTCGAAAAACCAAATAGGAGACAACCTCCCAAAAAAAGAATCCAAGTTGCTACTACGCCAATTAAGCAAACGAAATACTATCTCGTTTCATTATCTGCTACCAGAATCTCCATTGTTTAAAGAGAATCAACCACTTCATACACCAGAATAAGTAGAAAACTAAGTGCATGTCATATTATTATACGAGCAAAACAAAAGCGAAGCAAAGCTCGAGGCCGTTATACCGAAGGAAAGTGAAGCAGCAGCAGCGATCGTCATCAGAGAGAATGGAGATCAGAGTGGGGGTTGGGAGATGGAAAACATGATGATGGCTGTCGTTGTCTCGGACTCAAGAGTGCGTGTCGTTTGCAGTGTGAATGGCCCGTCAAACCTGTGTCAGCGACTGAGTTTTGTTCTGGCGCATCATTCTTCAGCTTGTATCTATTGGCGCAGCGGCAAGCTCAAATGTGCTCTTTGATTCTTATTTACAAATTAACTGAATTGCTTTTTGGTTTATTTATAACTCAATTATTAGTTAACTCTTTCTTTCCAATTCACGTTATAATTTATTGAGATTAATTTTTTATTTTTATTTTGAAACTTTGATGTGGAAATATAATTTTTATTTTTAAGAAATGTTCAAAATTTTAATATTAAAAAAAATTACAAATTTATATTATAAATATTAATTATTAAAAATTAAATATACAACGAAGTAAATGTTATAATTTACAAATATTATTAATTTTGAACCATATCAAATTGAATAAAAATTTTTAGTTTTAAAATTTGGCTCCAAGACTATAGCGAAATTTATTGGATCTTGACATAACCAATATTTATTTTATTTGAACAAGATAGAATTATCCGCCATTTTTGTAACGGCCCCGGAATTTTAAAATTGAATATGTGTATTAAAAAGGTCAAATGCGGAAGCGTAATAAAAACTTTGATTAACATCCCTTACACCAGCCCAGTAAAGACATCACACTATCTCACCGTCACGGAGGTAAAGGTGGGTAGAAAATACAAAAAGACCAATGAAGCATAATTTACAACAAATTCTTTTATCAATGATAAAATCATTTACTATCCACTTACCTCGGTGAAGTTCATAAAATAACATACGAAAGCAATAACATAATACTTATCACGCCTTTTGCATTTCAATCGTTACACAACATATTTTTCCTCATTTACCAGCCTACTAGTATCCATGGGGATCCATAGGGGTCCGCTACCCGTGAACCCTTAACACTTGTAATCAGATTCCAAGGCCGTCCCCATACCCCGTCCGGTAAGAGCGCCAAAACTGTAAACCTCAATACCCCGTCCGGTATGAGGGTGAAACGGGCCATCCCCACACCTCGTCCGGTATGGGCGCCAAAACATATAAGGTCTCCATACCCCCTCCGGTATGAGAGACCACAATCCCGGTAGGGTTCCCTACGGACCCGGTCCGTCCACTATCTCCTAGGATATCTAGTCAGACTGACCACATTATACAATTATTAATTTACTTAACCTTTCATTCCCCTTTTTCCTCAGTCAGCATCATCAAATCACGCACAAATAAGCAAACCAGTAATTTATGCCAAACAAAACAACATACAACATCGGGTTCTCAGTCATTCAACCTATAATCAATAAAACAGTGATATATGCACACGAAACTATGAAATGAAAACATCAGACCTCATACTGCATTTAAAAACTGTAAAATAGGCCAAACAACAGCTGACCGACAAACACACCAGACTCGGGCTCCATTAGCGATCTTAAACAATTTCACACATCTATTGATTCATGAAATACCGTTTTATCGTTTATTGAACTTTAATACCGTGATAGGAAATAGGGTGAGGGGTCGTTACTTGTTTCGGGGTCCGAATATGGCTCTACAGTGCGCCTACAGGCTGTCCCTAATTTTTTCTGAATTTTTTCCGGGGAACTGAAACGCACTACTGGTACCTGCACGTGTCCCAAAAAATCCCAAATTAGACCCAGGACCCCTTTCGGCCAATATCGCAATTCTGGCACGGCGGCTCCGCCGTGCTCTGGCGACGGCGCCGCCGCTTGCGGCAGTGATTCGCCTTGAGTTGGCCGTTTACGGCCGAATTTGGCCACACTTGCATCGGTCCCTGCGATAAAACAACCCTAGGGCCCTCGGGGGGCCAAAACATTACGAAAAACCAAAGCTTACCGGTGGCGGTGCTCTCGGGTGCGGCGGCTCTCCAGCGAGGTTCGTGTTTTGGTGATTTGGCTCCGATCAACCTGTAGAGAAAAGAATGGTGATCACGGTGATATAAAAATTGTATCAAACGGAGGCCGGGAAGGGCCTCATCAAAGGCAAAAACCGAGGAGGGGCGTGGCGGCGCCGCTGGGTTTCGGCCGTGTTTTCCGGCCATTTGGTCGGGATTTTGGCTCCGATTTGGCCACAGGGGAACTCAGCATTGAAAAACGAGCTGGGGGTATGAAATTTACCTCGATCACCGGTCGGAAAACTCCTCGGTGCGGCAGCGGGTGGCGGTGGCCGGCTCCTCCGGCGTCTGGTTCGTCTTTTCTGGCGAGGGCAGGCGGCTAAGGTTTTTGTGGTCAGGTGTGGGGGTTTTATTTATACCCTTTTGCCTTTTAATCACAACTGTACATTTTGATTAAATCTGGGCCGTTCGTACTTGATTGAATCTGGACCGTCCGTGCGCGTGCATCTGGGCCGTCCGTGCGCGTGCATCTGGGCCGTCCGTGCGCGCGGGGACGCATCTGGGCCGTCCGATCACGCACACGCGGATCGCCCACGTGGCCCGTTCCTGGGTTGACGTGGTCTTGCCACACGGCAGGTCCTGGTTGGCCAGGGCTGCTAACTGGGCCACTGACATGGCTGCTGACGTGGCGCTGACGGGGCACAATTTTTCTAAATTGCGTTTTGACCCCCGGTTTCTGATTTTCTTTTCAAAAATACCCCCAAAATCTAAATTTTCACAACTTTTTCTCAAAATCAACTTTAATTAAATCCAAATAATATTTTTACCCAATTTTATCATTATTATTATTTTATTTTTATTAAATTAAATTAAATAAATCAATTAAAATTCAAAAATTATAAAATAACTAAATAAAATAAATAAATAAATAAAATTTAATAATAATAATAAAAAAAATTTAAAATTAGTGGGCGTTACAATTTTTTTTAAATTCTTTTTCAATTAAAATAATTAATAAAATTAATGAAAATTTAAAAAATAATAAATTGATAAACAATAATTATTTACCCAATTCATAATTAATGAAATTATTGAAACAAACAATAATTTATTTAATGTTAATTTATAATTATGATTGTTTTTTTACGAAATTTCAATTCGTTCAGTTCGAATAAAAAATTGAACAAAACAATATCATAATTTTTAAATTTTTTATCTTAAAATAAAAGACTGGACTGAAATATGAACACACCCTAATAATTTTTAAATTACATCAGTTATATTTGAAGCACCAACAATTATCTTAATCAAAAGTGACCACATTTTTGTTTGAAATGTGTTTATTGAATGATATGATCAAATAGATTGTGTTATTTATATTTCCTCATAACAATTTAAATTTGATCAAACCTGTTTAGATTAAATTCAATTCACATTTTTTTCTTCAGTAGTAACAAACTATAAAAACATTAAGCATGCAATGAAGACAAAAATTTGATTGGATTTTTTTTTACTTGGTTAGGGTTTTTATTTTTTATTTTTCTATCAAATGTATCTTAGATTTTTCACATGAGCCTCACTTTTATTTTCTTTTTTTAATTAATGTAGAATATGACACAACATGTACAAAGGCATATGAACATAAGAACACTGTATTAGTTTTTGGCAATAGGTCTATTCTTGTTTTAAACACCTAATCAAGGTTAATAATCATAAACTCATAACTTATGTTGGTAAATCAAAAAGAATTTCGGCAATAACTAGGTCAAAGCAAAAAAAAAAAGACCTAGGACTATGAACTAAAAAAATTAAAAATAAAAACATAATGTGGTTTGAAAAGAAATAGTACGATACAATGTTGTATGTTGTAAATGATATATTTAATAAAAAATGATATATTAAATTAGTGAAATAATAGTGGAAATAATTATGAGTTTAGAGTTTATTTTTTGCACAGTAAATTAAGATGCCTAATAGGGTTACGGGAACATCTCTTTAGTAACCGAAAATAACAGGAATAAAGAAAACATAACTAAAATCTTATAGGATTAACATCCACCAGACA